TTGGTAGAAGAATTCATGGTTCCATTTACCAGAGTCTTCTGAGTCCTGAGGGAGCAAAACAGCCCAGACCATCACACTACCACCACCATGTTTGACTGTTTCTATGATTTTCTTTCTTTTTTTGAAATGCTGTTAGTTTTACGCAGAGGTGGGACTCAAACCTTCCAGAGAGTTCAGCTTCTGCCTCATCAGCCCACAGAATATTTTCCCAGAGGTCTCAGGGATCATCAGGATGTTTTCTGGTAAATGTGAGACGAGCCTTTGTGTTCATTTTGGTCAGAAGTGATTTTCTACTTGAATGCCATTCCTAACATTTTTGTCCATTTTGTTTTATTGTTGATTCATGACTGTGGAACTTACCCGAGGCATGTGAGGCCTGCAGTTCTTCAGATATTGTTCTGGGTTCTTTGCCAGCCTCCTGCATGAGTCATCGCTGCACTGATTTTGGTAGGCCAGCCTCTCCTGGGCAGGTTCACCACTGTTTCACGTTTTCTCCATTTGTAATTGATGGCTCTCTCTGTGATTCACTGAAAATGACCCTAGAAATGACTTTTGATCCTTTTCCTGACTGTAGATGTCACTAACTTTGTTTCTTAGTTGTTTCTCTAGATCGTGGCATGATGTGTTGCTTTTTGAGATCTTAGTCCCATTTCAAACAGATTCTATTTAAGTGATTTGTCTGGCAGTAATCATTTTATATTCACTCGGGTTGTCTTTGTCTAATATAATCATTTTAAAGAAGAAGAAATGAGAGGAGGGGGCTTTTTCATGGCATTGTACATAGTAAGTAGTAATAACAACAGAGATTCCACCAACTCACCTGTCTGTACAGGAGCAATATTCACCAATATAATTTTTCAGTCAGCTCTGCGTTACCAAAATAACTAAGCCAGGTATCAGCTGGAAGCTAAAAATCCAGTTTATTACTACTAATGCTGTCATTAATAATACATGTCTTATTTGTTAAACATTCAAGATTAAGAAACAAATTTTAAAATGCAAGGAGTGTATTTAATGTGTATAAGAGCAGCGGGTCTTTGAGGCTTGCTTACTGGCTTGTTGTTGTTGCCTGTTGTTAATTATTCCTGTAATATGAGAAGGTGGTTTGAGATTTGCTGGATGTCAAAGGGTGAAGGCCTTGGAGTGGTAAGAAAAACTAATGAAAAAGTGGGCAGACGGTATATGAGGCGACAGGTTCGGTGCAGACTGATAAACAGCAGGAAGTGGTAGAGACACTGCAATAAAATCTTTTTACAGCATGCAAATGTTTTCAGACACACCATAAGAAATCACCCCGTTAAATTACAGTAAAGTATTGCCAGCTCTATTTGTTATTTTAAAGTTTTTGTACTATAACAGGCTCCCACTGTAAAAATTACAGTACAAACTCCCTTTCAACTACATCCCACGGGCGCTCTATTAGACTTAAATCTGGTGAGATAAGGAGATATGATGTTAATATTAATAAAAGTATTATCTGCTGAGCTGTTAAACTCATTGTCATGTTCAAAAATCAGTTTAAAGTGTGAGAGAACAACTTTATTAGGTGACCAACGAGTTTGGGCTTGTGGCCTTCATCATGGTCACTCTAAGATATCAAACAGTTTGTGTTTAAATAAAAAAAAAAAAAACAGGAAGCAGAAAAAATCCAAGTGGATCAATCACACATTCACAAATAAACAAGCTGACCAGTTAGCATTTAACGAGGTGGTACTGTCTGATTGGTTAAACCATGGGTTAAAAATCCACATTTCCTTCTTCTTGGCATGACGGGTACACTGTGACCACAAAGGGATAGACATGGTGAGCAACAATACTTAAATAGGCGATGGAGTTTAAATAATGCTTAGTTGGCACTATGGAGCCCAAAGTCTAGCACGAAAATATCCCACAAACCATTGCAGCAGCACCACCAGCCGGTGACATTGTTTACAAAAAAGTTCTGACACGAACATCTAAACATTTCAGACCAGCAGTGTTTTCCAAATCTGTTATTGTCCAGCTTTGTTGAGCCTGTGTGAAC